CTAGTTATTCTCCAAGACTGAAGTAAAAGGTCATCTTTCTACCAATACTTCTGAAATCCTGTATCCAATACATTTCTCTCTGTTCTCCAGGAAGGAAGCACTTACTTAATACATTTTTCTTGATTTATGGCACACTATGTTTTTTTATAATAGCTGTATTATCATATTCTTTTTATCCCTTTAAGAATGTAAAACCCACAAAGAAAAGATCACTATCTAATATATCTGTGATTTCCCATTGCTCCTAACACAGAGACTAATAAAATGAGGAATTAAGGAATTCTTGCTTGAATTGATTCTAATGAATCAATTTTGTGGATTTGAGTCAAAGCTCACAAAAGTATATTTAGTTCTCATTTTTGACTTCTCACTTACAGATACTCCTATCTCTTTATACCTTGAGTGGTTTGAGTGGTTTATAAAAGAGATTACTTTGCTCACCATTGGGCTAGGAAGGATACAGGGATAAACTACACAAAAGCTCTGAACCTATGAGCTTAAGTTGTAGAAAGTAGGGCAAATCTTTAAACAATAACTGAATTTTAACTTTACTGTAATCAAAAAAACTCTAATAATTTATAGAACTTATTTATTCTACTTAAGTGAGTAAGGTTTCAGAAGGTTGATGATTAAAGAATGGACAACGCTTCAGCTGGCAAGAGTCCTTCTGTCAAGACCCGAGACACTGAAAAGGATGGAGCAGATGGAGGAGGAAAACCCATGAGTAAGAGAGTGTGTGTGTGTAGTGAAGACAATATGAAGAATCACTCTCAGGAATTTGGTGGCATGGGAAGATGAGAATAGAAAGTCTTGTTTAATGTGAATGGGTCCTGGATAGTTTTTGTTGAGCCAGTTTTCTAAACCTTGAAAACACTTATTCTGAATTCTTGTCTAGGCAGATGTGGAGAAAAGATTGTAATAGTTGTATGTGAGTGTTTCTAGAAGGCTTTTTTCCTCTTATTGAATATCAGGCACCACACTGAACTTTAATGACAGATTGAGGGAACACACATCTTGACTCTTATCCTCATCCCCTCACAAAATTAACACATTGGTGATAGAAATGCCCAATCTGAGCAATGACCAAGTACCACCACAACAATGGCATATAAAGGCATCAAAGTATATAACCACAGGGAATAGGTATCTTTCATTAGTTCACAATTGGGAAAGTGCTCATTAAAACAAATGATAAGAAATGTGTTTTGACTGAATGTGAAAGGGGGAAATGGTGCCTTTAGTGTCCCAGTAAAAGAAGAAAGCTGTTTAAAATGACCAAAAATAATTGAGAAAGGGATTGGAGAATGTGAGGGTCAGGCATCTTCAAAGAACTGCATGAAGATGAGCAGATAGACACAAACATGCTTCTGTCAAAAAGACCTCACCAGTAAATACGGCAGCTGAGACTGTTGCTGTGTAAGCTGAGCATGAGAAGGCAACTGAGGATGAGCAATGACTGCAACCTTACCACCTCAGTATAGTGCGTGATCAGAAGCATCGGCAACCGCCATTCATGGGCTTGGAACACAGAATTCTAAGCTTCTTTGGTCTCCAAGAGCTTGAAAATAACTAGGTTAGGGCACAGGACTCTGGGAATAAATCTTAGCTCTGTCATCAGGTGGCCAGGACCTTGATCTTGTCATTGGTCTTCTGTATCAGTACTCACAGCCATAAAGCTGAGATGGTCTTCTGGTTTCTACCCTTGGTTCCAGTTCTAAGATGTGTGTGTGTGTGTGTGTGTGTGTGTGTGTGTGTGTTTGTGTGTGCACGTGTGTGTGCGTATGTGAGTGTGTTTACGGGGGGAAGAAGAGAGGAAAACTCATTTGTATGATAGTAACTTATAACTTATTATTGTTATTATTTTAACCATTTATTGTTTTTCAAATTTTATGGGTGGATATAACAAATCTTTGTCAATTTCAACCTTATACCCTCCCTTTAATTTTTGTGATATTCTCTACCACTTTCAAACTTCCTCTTTCTCTTATGAACTCACTGAGTCCACTTAGTGCTATCAGGATGTGCATGGATGTAGTGCCATCCACTGGGGCAAGAGCAGCCTATCAGGAGTTTCAGTCAAAGAATATGGACTCTTCTCCAGTTTCAATTGTCTGAATAGACTGTGTAGGAAGTACAGTGATATTCCAGAGTGTACCTGGTAGAACCATGGAAAGGCTGTGAAAAGGAGTCTCAACAGTTCTTCACTAGACTAAGGGAGACAGATTCAAAGTCAGTTCCTGGTCCTACCCTGAAGAGATTCAATAGTCCGCCTGCTGAAAGCCGCTCCTCACTTTCCAGATTTCTTTTCCTAACTTTGGCTTTCTGTTTTCCTATTTGTGTATGTTATGAACTGAACACCATTAATAAATGGTGCCTTGTTTGTGTATGAAGTCATTGATTTGAGTAAGACAATATCACTAAGGTTGGATTACATCTAGATGCTGTTGAATAAAAATTTCTATCTTTGTTCAGACTTTCTCTTTGGGTCATGGACTTGTAGTGAAATCTTATTCTCTTATTTTGGCTTCCATTTTGAATGTTAGTGCACACCTTTTCTTTCCTTTTTAGTTCCCCCACTTTGACAGTTTGCAGCCGTTAGTCTCCTGCTTCCTCAGTATGATGGATACAGATATCTAACAGATCCACAGCTATTACGGATGCCAGGGATGACCTGGTAAAGGCAGCTGCTTGAGCACTAGACATAGAATGCTGCACCCACGTGGCTCAAGGCAGTATGCAGAGATAAGAGCCTGGAGTATCTTCTCCATTAGCAGACTGAGTTCTCTGTCTGTCTTCTGGCCAGTTGCTTTAAATAATTAAAATATTTAATGATGAATTAAATATGCACTGCGATTGCCTAACCCTAGTATGTCTGCATATCATTTGTAACAAGGGAAGCCAGAAGGATGACAATCACAACACATTAGCCTCCTTACTCATAATGTCTATTCAGTAAGTCGTAAAATTCATTTCCTGTTTGATGGCCTAAAGAATTTGTGCACAACTCCAAGAAAAATCTGGAACAACTCCAAACTGTGTTTTCCTTAAGACTGTAGGAAAACAAAAGGTTGAGACCAATGATGAGGCAGGCAGGAACTAGACATGGATTAGACAAGAGCCACAAGATGGGAGTGGGGCATTTGTCAGCATAAACAAGTTTCTTGTATGAGATATTTCAAAATCATTCTATCAATGAAATGAAGTGGAGAAGGCATGCTGCAAAGGGACCACCCATATCCCTTTCCTCAGTAGCACAGATCTGCTACATTCAGTCTCCACTTCTGTGTGATGTGCAGCAGTTTTCTTGAACTAATATCACAACCCTGCTCTTTACTCCTCTCACCCAGCCCTGACCCTCTCACGGCATGCCTGCCTCCGGAAATGATGACTTGATTTGTCTCTCCATTCAGATTGGAAAATTTGCGATCATCTTTGCCTGTGCTCCATTTCTCACATCCCATATCTAATAACACAGGCTGCCAAGCCTATACTGAAGTCGTCCAGTATCTGTTAAAATCTCACCATTTCCTTCCTTCGTCTCAGGGTCTAAACCATTACCAACTCTTGCTTAGATTACAGCGCTAGCATGTTTTAAAATTTCGGGCCTCATTCTTCACACAGAAGCCAGAGTGGACAGGTTAAATTATGGATCAGAGTTCATACTCACATGCTCCTTTGCTCAGAAATATTCAGACATTTCTATTTGTCTGAAGCTCCACATTGTCCTAATATAAGGTCTGAACTGCCTTTGCCCCAAATGTGCACTTCAGACCGTACTCCTTCCTTCCCCTCTAGGTGTCTTGGCATTCCTACCACTGTCCATTAAAAGACAAATTTATGAGTTCCTGTTGCAGAGAATTGATGTATGCAGGGCTTTCTATTTAGAAAACTCAACAAGAGTGACATGGTTTCATATGTTCCCATCGCCAGGTACTTGTTCAAATAATACCTTCCTGAAGAGCCTTTCTATCTACAGTGACAATCCCTCCCCCTCCTCCAAGGCTGTCATTGCATAGGCTTTGACGTCTACTGTCTATTATCTATCAACTATCTGTCTCTATGTAATGTATGTAAGTTTGTTTATTACAATATTTTCCAAAAGAACTTTCTAAAGATCCTTATACTGGTTGTTTAAGAAGGTGGTCTTTAGTCATACAGAGTCCTGGAGTACTTGAAATTTGGCTAATGTGACTGAAGCTATGAATACTTAATCTTATTTCATTTCAATTAATTTATAATAAACAAGCATATATAGGCTTTGGCTACCATATGAGGCTGTGTATATATGGTGTTCCTTTCCACAGACACTTACATAAAGATTACATTAGGCAGGAAAATTGCTTAAAAAACGTGCTTGGCTGTGAGAAATTCCTACTAATTAGATGTAAAAATGAATACATGGAGAAATTCTCTATATTATCATTAGATTTTAAATATTAGTTTTTATTTTATAAATGATCATACAGAGACATGAGCTTTACTTTGGTATTTTTATATGTATCTCACTCTACTCTGCTTTTATTCATGCCCTCTGCCCACTTTTACTGTTTCCCTTTCTCCCTCACCCCCATCTACTTCACCTTTCTTATTCCCTGCTGTATTATTTATTTGTTTAAACTTAACAGATAGCATGTATGTTAGGAATTCTTTTCTTTTTTTAATAGTTAAAGATACAATAGTATCTTGCTGAAGAATATGGATTTAAAGGAACACAGGACATGAACTTAGCAGTATCTGATGACATTTAAACATTCAGTCTTGCTGAGTTTGAGCTGGATGCCCTATGTGGTCTTTTCTAACTCTGAGCTTACCTGGTTTCCTAAGAATTTCCCCTTTACCAGGAAATAGCAGCACATGGTTTAAACAATTGATTGGACTGACTGACCTTTACATTGACTCTTTTGTCAGTGGTTCAGCAATCTCTGATTTCTTAAGTGGAATGAATGCAGACTCCTTAAGTCCACAACACCTTTATCTCAAGTCCCACACTCATGACTTACCAGTTTCTGGGTCACAGAGCTGTTCACAGGCATCTGTTGTCCTCTGTCCACAGAGATCTCTCACCCATGGGGAGGTGGCATTGATCTGGTAGTACAGGGACAGCTTGGCAGGATTGAGCCAGTCAGAGATATCCAGGTAGCTTCCTTCACTCACCACAAAGCTGCTCCCTGTGGGTGAACAGAAAGCAACAGCTACTTTCTCAATTTCAGAGTCATTGCTTGTGCTAAAGGAACAAAGAAACAATCCCCTCTCAGTTGTTACAACACACTTAGCTAAGAAAAGTTGAAGTACCTTTACCCTGTGTCATTAAGGGGTCAAGAGTCAACATGACCTAGTTCACCCAAGTGGTTAAGAGTGTGTCCTGAGGAGTGTGTTTAGGTCCAGACATCACCATTTATAGAACACTGATTTTGTGAAAGTCGCTTAGTTACTCTGGTCTTGGCTGCTACATCTGTAAATGGAAATATTAATAAGAGCCCCTCAACTGTGAGAATGAAATAGATTGATGTAAGGTGGGTAGACAGTACCTGATAGGTTCTAGGAAAAATGATTAAACGTTAAATTTTCAAAAGGAAGAATGACCATCCTTGTTACCTAGGTATCCCTTTGGAAAAGAGTGCACAATGCTCTACAGAGCTAAGTGGGTAATATCTACATGCAAGATAAGAAACAAAGAATCAAGGCCTTTCCCTCTAGTGTCTGCTATATTTTCTGTTATTGCTTCTGTAGTACTGTGATTCAAAACAGGGGTCTCACAAATATACTTGGTGAATACATACTCTACCACTGAGCTCTACTTTCAACCCAACTTATTTTATTTAAAGGGAGAACTATAAGATAGAAATGTAAACAGTAGAAGACAAAGATATAGACGAATTTTCAAGGAAATTCTAGAACCTTTAAAGAAAGATACCACATATAAACATGCACATATATGTACACACACACACACACACACACGCACACACACACCTTGATACTGAGTTTAGTGCCACATTCCTATAACCCCAGTACTCAGAAGATGGAAGGTAGTAAGTTCCAAGCCAGTAAGATCTACACAATGATTTTCAGGTCAGCCAGAGATGCAGAGGAAGACCATGTCTCAAAAAGCAGCAAACAAGAATATGAACTTGATGCTTGGAATTTGCTGAGTACAGGAAGAGAAGCAGGTGAGGGCCGGCATCAAGGGGCCATGTCAATCTCCACTAGAATGGTAGCTATGAATCTCTTCCAGTTAGAGCTTTACACATGGGCCTAAAAGCCACAAGAGGCTTAAATTTAACCTTCTATTATAACCAACCCATTTTCCAGTGAAGACTTAAAGATGTTCATAGAAACTAATGTAGGTAAAAAAAAACCTCAAGCTTTATAATCTATGGTAATCTATGAAATGAAATATTCCTCACTAATTCATAAGATATATTACACATATATATGCATATATGCATGCACATACCATACATTATCATTTTCAATGCAATTATTGTATAATTATACAGTGTTTGCTTATATATATTCTATACAAATTCACATATGCTCACATATACATCCAATTGGAGAAAGCAAGAAGATTCCTCAGATTGGCTACAATAATATTGTAAATGATGAATATGTGTGTGAAACAAACAATCATACAAAGCAAAGGCTAAGCTTCACAGAGTAAAAAAATATGAGTTTGAATAGGCCTAAATAGACTTGAAGAGTAGCTCTAAATTTGTGGTAGATATATCAACCTGCATCACAGCGAACAGAAAATTATGTCCTAAAATTAGCATAACTAAGCATTCCTATCCTGTTTGCTTCTCTTTACCACACCAGAAAACAAAAACACCAACAGAAAATCTAGTTTTTCCCAGGGAAGTAATTCAGTTTTTCCCAGGGAAGAGCATTTCAGTTTCTCAGCATCCTTTGCATCAAACAGGGGCTTCTGTCAGATCATATCAGACACTGTTCTTGACCTATGGCTAAGCTAATATTGGATCAGATCATCTGCTGTAGTCCAGTGAAAAATGGTCAGAGAGATGAGGTCACATCAACCCATGTCTGGCTGCCTAAGTGTCTGAAACCAGGGACTAATGCTTCCATTCTCTACCTCACACAGACACAGACTGTTCCTCATTCTATAGAAGGAGTTGCTATGTAAAGGCTCAGGAGGCGACACGATTTTCAGTGTGAATGCCAGAAGCATCCATGTGAAACAGCAGGAGTAGATGAGCGGCATCAAGCTGATATAAGGAAATGACCCCTTTTGAAGTTGGCCCTAAAGTCCTTGGCAGCTAAAGGAAAAAAAAATTGAGTCTGTTGGATTTCATATTTCAAAATTTTGGCAAGGAAATCTATGCAAATGTATTTGCAAAGCCACGTTTCCCCCACTGGAACAAAGCCCAAACAGAAACGTGTCGCATGGGTCCTTGAGCAAGGCACTACACATCAGAATCAACTGCAGAGTTTTCTTTCAAAAAGCACAGTCATGCTGTTTACATGGATAATTCTTGTATTTATTCCTAATAAAGACTGAGGTATGGATATTGAACTCTGTCCCAAGGCTGAGCTTGGTTAATTCAGCTGCTTTAGAAATGCTTCATAGTGCTGTGATAATGAGAGCAGCCAGCAAGATGTGAGTTCAGATCTTTATGTTGTTACTTCATAGATGTATAACCTTGAGCAAGAAAGCAACTCCCCACCCCAGTTACCACACATGAACAGCATGGATAGACAACCCCTCTAGATGCTTTTATAAAGGTTACATAAGACAATATATCTGCCTTGGGTAAGGACTGTCTAAAGGAATACTCAGAGGCAGAGACTGTCATGGGAAAAGGGCATGGAGGGAGACGTTAAATTGCCATGGAGATGCAGAAAGAGCCCTTTAGAGATTGCAATGAACACTCTGACGGTAGATGGTCCTTCATACTGGTTCCAAATCAAGATAAGTCTTTGTACCATCACACCGCTCAGAGTGGGACTATAGGCTGTTTCTGAGGAGCAGAAATAACCTTAGGCGAAACAGTCCTTCATAATGGAGGATGTTAGTGCAAGAAACACTGAGTTGAGAGGGGCCAGACATGAATACCCTGCAATTGGGAGAATGAGTGTGGCACCACTTAATGGAGAGAAGGATACGGCATCACAAATTCCCTAAAGCAGATAAAGTACTGGGCGCTTCATGAAGTAGACTCATGGCAGCAATTTTCATTATTATTTGGCTTTCTTATGAACTTCAAAGCTCTACACACAATATCAACAGATATTAGAAATATAATTGGACTAGGAAACAGGTATAATAGACTACTTGTATTTGAAGGCTGAGCCTTTTAGACATAACTGGGTCATGAAGATAGAGTTCTTATAATTGGGATTAGTGCTCTTATTGAAGACTTAGAAAACTGTTTTAAACACTGAGGAAGGATAGCCCAAGTGAACCAGGAGGTCGACTATTACCTGACACCAACCTGACAGCATCCCGATCTTGAACTCTCCAGACTCCAGAACTTTCAGAAATACACATGTACTGTTTGTAAGGCATGGACACACTGGTATTCTGCCTAAGCATCATAAATGGACTAAGTCAGTAGCTTATCTTTCACATCATTGAAATGGTATATTACCGAGATGGACAGGCACTCTGATGGCAGAGGAAAGCTACTATCCTTTGAGTGATATGAGTGATACATTATGTTACATATTCTACTCACTTACAATAGTCTGGTGGGATAGTCATTTTCCTTTTTCACAGAAGGCTATAGGAGACACAGAAAAAAACTGATCTGAACAATCTGTATAATTCCCCAGGGGCAGGAGTGGAAATGGCAAGAAGAGTTTTCATTCTCTAAAGCTGTGACTGTCCCATATCCCAGGGTGGTATTTTGAGAAACAGGAACATTGGTAGGGTTGTCTTCTGTGGTCCTTTCACTCTTCCTCCAGAAGGTTGGAATTCACTTTGATGACTGTGGCACAGAGAGTGCCAGAGGCACCTCCTCCTCTGGTGGACTATGAATTCTTAGAAGGAACATATGCTGAGACATTAGCCTTTATCAATCCACTTCTGAGCAAAATACTTGCCACATTTTCAAGGTTTAGCAAATGTTAAAGTAAATTAATGAAATCAATTTCCGTGTCTAACTACAGAGACCTTCAACTCACATCTTCCTGGGATTATGAAGTAGATAGGCCATCTAATTGGCCAAGCTTAATTTTATTTGCACTCCATGAAACCTAGACAATAAGGTTAGCACTTTAGGAATCTCAATACTTTCAAACTAAAAAAAACTGAACTTCACTTTCATGGCTATTTTGAGAAGAGACTCACTTTAATGGGCTTGAGATATGGATGAGTAAAATAGAGAGCAGAGCAAAGAGGCCCTGCGTGAGGGAGCAAGGAGCTGTAAAGACCATGCTGGCTTAGTTCTCTTTCCCATCTTGCAAGATGGCGGGTGAAAAAGGTGAGAAACCTGATACAAAAGAGAAGAAACCTGCAGCCAAGAAGGCTGGCGGTGATGCCCCTGCCGCTGGTGCAGCCAAAAAGAGTGACCCTAAGGCTAAAAAGCTCAAGAAGGGGAAGCCCCATTGCAGCCGAAATCCAGTCCTTGTTAGAGGAATTGGCAGGTCCTCCCGATCTGCTATGTATTCCAGAAAGGCCATGTACAAAAGGAAATACACAGCTGTGAAAACCAAGGTTGAAAAGAAGAAGAAAAAGGAAAAGATCCTAGACACTGTCTCAAAACCAGTTGGTGGTGACAAGAATGGTGGTACCCGGGTAGTTAAGCTTCGAAAAATGCCCAGGTATTATCCTACCGAAGATGTGCCTCGGAAGCTGCTGAGTCATGGCAAAAAGCCCTTCAGTCAGCACGTGAGACGCCTGCGTGCCAGCATCACTCCTGGGACTGTCCTCATCATTCTTACTGGGCGCCACAGGGGCAAGAGAGTGGTTTTCCTGAAGCAACTGGGCAGTGGTTTACTGCTTGTGACAGGACCTCTTGCCCTCAACAGAGTTCCTTTGAGAAGAACACATCAGAAGTTTGTCATCGCCACCTCTACAAAAGTTGATATCAGCACAGTTAAAATCCCCAAACACCTGACTGATGCTTACTTCAAGAAAAAGCAGCTGCGTAAGCCCAGGCATCAGGAGGGCGAGATCTTTGACACAGAGAAGGAGAAATATGAGATT